CAGACACAAGGGTAGCTTTATTATTGTTGTTATTTGCTCATAATTTTAATTATATTGGCCGGTATTTATTGATATGTAAGTTGATTTGTGACTTTGGATATGTGTTTTTGTATGTCATCTTACATAAGTCTCACAACATTCTCATCTCAGAATGAGCTAGGTGATACTGCAGTAACAAATCACTCAGAATCTCTGTGACTTAACACAACTAAAGTTTATTTCTTGTTCGTTCTGTGTGTCCAACATAGGTAATCAGGGTGGCTCTGCTCATCTTTGTCACTCAAAAACCCAAGCTGAAAGTTTTATCCCAACAAGTACTTCTGTCATCACTAAGATAAGAAAAGAGAGGGGAGCAAATCACATACTGCTGCTAAAGCTTCTGACCAGGAGAAACACACATAACTTCTGCTCACATTCATTGACCCTAACGTTTACTTAAATGAACAAAGGCCTGAAAATATCATTTTAAATAAAAGAAAAAGAAGAATAATTAGGAAGGACATGCTTTATATTATAAAGGCTCTAAAAACAAATCAGGTACTTGCAGAGGAATAAACAAATCAGTGGAACAGGACATAGAACCCAGAAATAGATCCTAATATATATGAAGATTTAATACATGATGAAAATGATAGTTAAATTCAGTAGGAAAGGTGATTGTTTTAAAATAGTATAGAAAACTAAAGTTGAACTCATATACAAAAATAATTTCAGATGGATTAAAAACTTAGACCTAAAAATAAGAGAAGTTTTTCGAGAATGTACATATATGGGCAAGTCTCCATAAGTAAAACAGTAAACTTAGAAGTTGTTAAAAAAAAAAAAAAAAAAGTAAAAGAAGCAGGCTTGTCCCACCTGCACCCTGTGGGCCACATGCAGCTCAGGACAGCTTTGAATTTGGCACAACACAAATTCATAAACTTTCCTACAACATTATGAGATTTCGTGTGTGTGTGTGTGTGTGTGTGTGTGTGTGTATTTTAAGCTCATCAGCTATCATTAGCATTAGTATATTTTCTGTGTGGCCCATGACAATTCTTCTTCCAATGTGGCCCAGGGAAGTCAAAAGATTGGACACCCCTCACAGATTTAGATATGTTAAAATATGTCTGTTTCACATAGTAATAAAAATCAGACAAGTGATAAATTAAAAATATATTTTCACACAGATGGAAAATACAATATTAACATATGAGCTCTTCCAACATACAACCCAAAATAAAAAGAAAACAACTCACAATAGAGCAAAGCCAGGTGGCCTACAAACTTGGGGAAAGGTGTCTAAACTTGCTAGTAATTAGGAAGATGGAAAATAAAGTAACAATGAGGTTTAAACTCATCAGTCTGGTAAAAATATAAGTTTGATAATACCCATTTTGGTATGGCTGCTGGAGGAAAATGGTGTTCTCATTGCTGGTGGAAATAAGAATTGTTACAATCCTTTTTGGAAAACAATTGGGCAACATTTATTTTGCTATTATTGTTAATTTGTTTAGACATTAGGGTCTCACTCTATTGCCTGGGCTGGAGTACAGTGGTACAATCATTGCTCACTACAGCCTTGACCTCCTGGGCTCAAGTGATCCTCCCTCCTCAGCCTCTGGAGTAGCTGGGATTACAGGCATGTGCCACTATCCCTCGCTATGGGCAATGTTTATTAAAATTAAATATCCACATCTCTTTGACTCAGAATTTACACTTAAGAAAATCTATCTTATAAAAATGAAAGTTCCAGTACATAGGGACACATGTGCAAGAGAGTTAATCTGAGCATTATTCAATGTAGTAGAAAACTAGAAACAAAGTAAATCATAATACATCCATACAATAAATGAGGTAGAACTATATTTCCTTGTGAAAATGAAAAATCTGGGAAAAGAGTGTATGATATAACCCTGCTTTCCAAAAAAATGGCCCCAAGATTCTATGTGTGGGAATATATATGGATTTTTTTGTACATATATATGCTTAGATGAGATTATATGAGCATAGATTTTTAAAATACTTGAAGATACATGCTAGTTTTGTAGCATGGATTGTGGCAGGGGTGGGGCAGCAGGAAAGGAGACAGGGAGGGAGGAGGTTTGCCAAAAGGAAAAAGCAAAAAGATAGTTTGCACAAAAGAAGCCCCAGCATGTATGCTATAATCCCATCTATTCATTAATGCAGTGCTCACTTGACTATGATTTATGCTTTAGACTGAGGAAGGTCAATCGCTTATCCCAGCAAACACTAGGAAGGACTTAAATTGTTCTTAACTATCTGATGGCAGGTGCCTCCCAGAGGTAGATGGCATCCATGTAGGCAGGCAAAGCTTCTCAATGCTCATGAAAGGATACCAGTTTGGCTGTGTATTTTTTGGATCTCCAAAGTTTATGGCTCTGCAATCAACCAGACTCACTCTGTGTCTACTCTTCAGATTCTTGTCAGAGAAAATAACCTCACACTCCCCATTAGCCACATGGGCTGAAAGCTATGCCAGTTGGCTGTCTTCAAATAGGAGAATGGCTTCATCATAGTGGTTCTTAGCTAATAATTTTAATAATGATGGTTTAACTTAGGTTTTCTTCCAATTGATAGGTCTGGCAAACTTATCTGGGCAAAAGTTTGTAAAAGGAACAAACCACTTGTTTCACAGCAACATAGATTTGAGAAAGCTGTTGAACCTGGTTGCAGCCTGAAAGTTTTAAATAAATAATAGTCTTGCTGTAGCTACTAAGGAATTGCTCTTCTTTAATCACGGACATTGCTATCCCCGCAGACAATTTTCAGCCTCTAGTCAACCACATCGTAAGCATGGGGACCTTAACCAATGAAGAAAACCATTTTCAAAAGTTCGAAGTTTCCATTCTTAGTGCAGATCATTGGGCATCTCCCAAGGTGTCTCACAGGCTGCCCAAGGTTCCAAAGTAGTGCACAAGCCAGAGGGGAGTTCATGGCTTTCTGATTTCTATCTAACCCTTACTATGGACCTAAACTTCACAGCTAAGCTAATGAGACAGAGAGAACTTGTGACCAAGTCTAGTGCCAGCCCTACAGCACACACTCAGTGACTTGAGGCAAGTCACTTTTGCTCTCTACAGCCCAGCGTTCTCATGTATACTCCAACACAGGATCTCAGGGTACCCTTTTCTTTTGTTTAATAGAACTTATACAAATTTGTAATTATATGCTTGTGTGTATGATTGTTTAATTGCCTATCTCCTCCACTAAAGCGTAATCTCTATACAGATAGGGGCAATGTACTGTATCCCTAACACCTAACATGATGGCTGGCACATATTCAAACTCAATAAAAATTTATCAATTTAATGAATAAATAAATAAAATGAGAAAAATGATTTCAAATATCCTACCAGCTCTAACAGCATATGATTCTCTAAATGCAAAAGGCTTTTATTTTTAAAATTAGGTCATAGTCTTCCTTTGCCCAAACATCACTGAGTAGATTAAGTGCGTAAGTGAACGTGGCCCTGCTCTACATAATTACTCAAAAAAAAAAAAAAAAAAACCACAAAACTTAACCTATTAATCATAGTTTCTATTAAGATTTGTTTAGTCCCACCAAATCTCATTTTGAAAGTTGATTTCCAGTGTTGGAGGTGGGGCCTGGTGTGAGGTGTTTGGATCATGGAGTTGAATCCCTCATGAATGGCTTGGTGCCATCCTCACAGTAAACAGCGAGTTCCCACTCTTAGATCCCATGGGAGTTGTCCTGAGAGCTAGTTGTTAAAAAGAGCCTGGCACCTTCCCGTCTCTCTTGTTTCTTCTCTCTTGACATGTGGTCTGTATGTGCTGGCTCCTTTTCTTCTTCTGCCATGCTCACCAGATACAGATGCTGGTGTCATGCATCTTGTACAGCCTGCAGAACCATGAATCAAATAAACCTCTTTTCTTCATACATTACCCAGCCTTAGTTATCCTTTAAAGCAACACAAATGGACTAAGACAGTCCCGTATATCTAAAAGCATTGTAAGATGCCATTTCACCCATAGCTTTGCCCCTTAGCTGAACTACCATTTATGCAAGATAGGTGTTTGTTGTGTGTCCTAGAAGATTTTCAATCTCCCTTGCTATATTGTTCCTGGATCTTGAAATCCTAACAGTAATTGAAACATAGAAGGAAAAAAAACTTAGAATTGTCTAGTCCAGTGATTTTTCAAACTGTATTTTAGCAGAGAAACCCTATTTTGCAAAAAGAAATTTTATATAGAAGCCCAATATTTCCATTCAAAAATGTATGTCTATGTAAATAGATACAGTTTGGAGGGAGGGAAGGAAGGAAGGGGGAAAAAGGCAGGCAGGCAGAAAGAAAAGATATGCCCCGGTTGACATGAGAAAGGGAACTGCAGAGCCCTCACCTGCAGGCTTTGCCTCGACCTCCCTATTGGGCCATACCTACCCTCACTGCCCTCTGCACCTGCCCTGCCTGCCCCATACTGCCCTGTAAGGCACCACTGAGACTAGTAGCCTATAAACAGGTTGAAAGCCACCAGTTTGAATGACTATCTCCTTTTAACAAAAGAAAACTAAGACTTAATGACTGAATCATATTCTTCTTTAGTGTTCCAAATCCTTCCTGCAAAAAGTAAACTGTCTTCTTTTTGTTTCTTATTAGATTACACAGCCTTCCCTGAAGTAATTTCATACAAATCAGATTATGTGTTCAGTATACTCTTCTTATAGTTAAACCACCATCATTTAACTTTACTCATAACATTTTGTTTCAACAAAACAATTTTTGAAAATATAAAAATTTCATAAGCATCGTTTTCCTGTTAGATACAAAATTTATTTTAAAAACAAATAATTATATTGACCTTTACCATCACATGTCTAAATTTTTCACATGTTTATTACAAAGACACAGAGGTGAATTAAAAGAGTATATCATTATACATTGTCAAATAAAGGAAAGGTTTCCTTATCCAAATAGAGAGAATATATAAGTGATTACTTAATATAAAGCAAAAGCTATGCCTACCAAAGAACAGACATGCAGTTATTGATCTGGAATTGGCATGATTACAAACTACTCTGCAATTCTTCCTCTTCCCAATTAAGGTGTCTCTCTTGAACTGATTGAAAGCTGTTTGATAAGTATACTTTTTTCAAGATGGTATGCTCAGTTGGGGGTCTTTTTATTAAACTGAAATTCTATCATTAGCTCTGACTAGCACCAGCTGCTGTATAAATTCTGTGTTGATGTAGACCTCCACTGGTGTTCCAAATATTGCAGATGAATCTCTCTCTGCCTCCAAAATCCTCAGTCATGCAGTATGAATAATTAACATCTGATAAATGCAGAGCAAAAATGACTTTTATTAGAAGACATGGTACCGGGATCACAATTCCACCTTAACTCCTCAGAACAATGAACCAAATAGGACTTTAGCAGTTAAAAAAAAAAAAAAGTGTTTCTAAATCTCTCTATATTATGTTTTTCCCTATACCTGATCAGAAATGTTAACAGTAAGACACAGATTAAATGTTTTAGTCTTACAGCAAAGTTAAAGACAGAATCCAAGTGGCAGCACATTTTAACTAATGTTTTTCTGAACGTTCTAATTCCAGATAAATTCAAAGCATTTAGGACTCATGTCTGTCATGATTATTCTTTCTTCTAAATAGTTCATAATCCGTCGCTTTTTTTTTTTTTTTTTTTTTTTTTTT